ATTGCATATTAATGTCATTGGGATGATGGGAGTTGAAGTTAAGGAAGAGAGGTTTTCTAATTGGTTTGTGAAACAAGGTAGATTGCATATTAATGTCATTGGGATGATGGGAGTTGAAGTTAAGGAAGAGAGGTTTTCTAATTGGTTTGTGAAACAAGGTAGATTGCATATTAATGTCATTGGGATGATGGGAGTTGAAGTTAAGGAAGAGAGGTTATCTAATTGGTTTGGGAAATAAGGTAGATTGTATATTAATGTCATTAGGATGATGGGAGTTGAAGTTAAGGAAGAGAGGTTTTCTAATTGGTTTGTAAAACACGGTAAATTGTATATTAATGTCATTGGGATGATGGGAGTTGAAGTTAAGGAAGACAGGTTTTCTAATTGGTTTGTGAAACAAGGTAGATTGCATATTAATGTCATTGGGATGATGGGAGTTGAAGTTAAGGAAGAGAGGTTTTCTAATTGGTTTGGGAAATAAGGTAGATTGTATATTGTTGTCATTGACCGGTAACGTCAATAAATTATATGTTCCTCTTGTCATTCGAATGATTCAGGGTGAAAGGGACAATTAATTGGCACTTAATTATTTCAACAATAAGCTTTACAACTTAATATGGCAAAAGCACGTTGTAGAAATGCACGTTATAGATTCGATTAGAATTCATAGTTTAAACCATTTGAAGCTCTGTACTATCAGTTTCGGTTTGTGTTTTAGTGAAGATACTGAAGAAGCTTTAAAGCGAAATGCCGAGTGTCTAATTAAATAAAACAATATTTTGGTGTCATTTATGTCTAGTATTAAAACCAACCTTTTTATTCTTATACAATTTATCCTTTACTCTGTAAAATGTAAAATTGAGTTACATAGTAGATAGAAAAATATAATTTTGCCTCAAGAAAAGTTATTCATATTGTTACGGCTCTAGTCGTTGGTTAATTTTCTGTAGAAATTCTTTCCGAAAAACTTCAGCAATACAAGTCTTTTCTTAAATAAAACTAGTTTATTCTTTCTCAATACAACTTTGCAATACACTTAATTTCCACAGTCACTTTAACTTAAACACACGCTATAATTCACAAAGATTCACGCACTTTTCTTACGGCTTGACTCAATTATCTGTGTCTATATATCTCTGTCTGCAGTTATCTATGCTGTAACTTT